AACATTTTTAAATAAATCACAAGACAAATTCAGCGACAAAAAATCGTATTTTTTTCATCTCTTTTTATATTTTACATCCAATCTAATTCCCTGAAAATCTTCACATGTTATCATTTGTAAAAAAGAATAAAGTAAAATTCACGGATCATTGTGCAATTCCTGACTGCATGCAATGTCATTTGATTTCACACGAGTCTCACAGCTTTTCTTGATCACATTACTTGCATTAAAGAAATTGTTACAGAAAAAAATGAAAGAAATCAAGAGTGTGACATAATAGTCAGGTAGAAAATATCATAACTTACGAAATTGGCTTTGATGTTGTGTGCAAAAAAAATTGTGACAATTTAACTTCGTAAAATGAGAAATAAGTCATGTGCTGTGTTATTAAATATTAAGTTTGACATCTTGGGTTTCTTACTACTTGATGTGGTTGTTTCTATATTTGTTAGTTCCTTTTTTTTGTGGAGTAAATTGACAGGGTTGGAAAAAAATTGAATTCAAAACATTTTAAGTTTAAAAAAAATACTAGAAAAATTGAAAAAAATTGTTGAAAATTCCAATAATTACAACTCTGATCCTTTTAAATGGCAATTTGTCTCAGTACCTTTCTTGTTTATTTGTCTACAAAAATCATCCATCTGATATACATAATGTTTTTGTTGTCTCCTAGAATCTGTCATAAAATTGAATTTCGTTGTTGTTTTTACGTGTCTTACTCATCATATGCACAATAAGCAAAATTATAGTGAATGAAATTTTAATAACCTTTTTCTGACACACACAAACACGTTTAATATTAATTTTAATGAGTTTTTATTTAATTTAATTAATAAAATTTCCTCTTTTTAATTGTCTCAAAACCCCCCCAAAAAAATTGCATTGTTTTATTTAATTAATTGATTCAATATTTAGAGATATCTGTATGAATTATTTTGCAGTTCCACTGGTATGGCAATAAATGACACAACAGGTCCGCTATTTTCTAGACCAAGGTAAGATAAAAATTTATTTTATAATCAATTTATTTCGTTTCAAAAGTGAAGATTTTTAATTAATTTCAATATTTTGAATATAACCTAATAGACGTGAATTAAAGAAGTTGCTTTAGTTTTTGAATGTACTTCGAAGTAAAGGCTATGATTGGTTTGTTTTTCACAAAATCATCCATCAGCCCTGACCTAAATCATCCTAGCTTTATTAAAAGACTTAAAAAATCTTCATTTTTGGATATATTTTAATATAAGACTTGTGATATATTCTAGTAAATTACAATCTATGTTTAATAATAAATTAAATTTGATTTAAATTGTTAAAAGCATTTTTTGACCTAAGCGCCACTTTAGTCTCTCTAATTCACATGGCAACAAGTCACTAATCTCACAATTCTAATAATTTTTGTGAACTCTTCAATTATTGTACCTATAAATAACCCCAACATACTCATATCCCCAAAATATCACTCAATTTACACATCTAGAAATGTCTATGATGGAATAAAATTATCACAAAAATTCCTCAACGTCAGTTCTTTGACACACAAAAAAGAATTCAAGGCAATGGCAATAAACTTGATTAATTTTCACATAACAATATCAATGAATCTTTATTTTTTCGTATGTATCGCGTCTCAAAGAGGTCTATTTATAAACACATCACTAATTAAAAGAAAAAAAAAAACAAACAAACTCGTGAGATAAAAATATTTTAATTATCTGACACGAGAACGTGTTTCAGATTTTTTTTTGTAGGCGATGATTTTGAGAAATTCTTGAAGATGATTTTGTAATGAAAATTTTTGTGACTTTTTCTGGAGATTAAATTTCGATTTTTAAATGGAAATTAATTTTATTTAATTGTTGTTCTTGTTTTGTGGGGTATGGGAATGACCCTTGTAGCAGGGGAATTTCTCGGGGGGTTAATAATTTTTTAATGGGTTTCAAACTTTGTGGGTAGATTTCATTTTTAATTCAATCAAAATTTTTTTTAAAAAAAAGATGACCAGTTTAGACCTACTCAATATGCTTGGGGTTATTTAAATTTAATTTTTCAACCATGTAAATTCATGTAAATTTTATATTCATTTTATGGTTAATGTTACTAAACCCTCTTTGATGAACAGATTTTTTTAAAGGGGTTTGAAATTTTTGTGTCAAGGCTAAAGTTGAAGGGCGAGTAGGGATTTTTTTCACAAAAAAAAACCTAGCATATTAATTTTTTTTTATAAAATGAGATAAGAGGGGGAGGAGGGGGGGGGGGGGAGTAAGACCAAGATAATACTACAAGGGTTTCAATTTTCATTCCTATTTTCATATTAATTAACCCCTGAAAAATTCCTTCAAGGTCCCCACGAGCTTTATTGTGTACAATTAGAATGTTCTTTAATTTCTACATTTTCATGTCGCAATGTGAGCCTGAAAAAAAATTTAAATGATTCTCGAATTAACAGCATCAAAAGAAGATTTTTTTTACTTTTTTTTTCTTCTTATTCATTCTATTCGCACGCTCATGACATGAAATAAGAGGAAAAAGTTTTAACAAAGATACATTAAAACTTTTTAATGTCTATTGCGCAAAAAAAATAACATAACAGAACATGAAGAGTAACACAGAACAAAAATTATGAATAAGAATGAATGAATTTGCAGAATGAAGCGAAAATCTTTTCCTGCATGAGATAATGTTGCTGTTTTAGTCACAAAAACTTCGTATGTGAGCATAAAAAAGATAGTTTTTTTGTTTTTCGATGCGTTGTTTTAGTTGAAAGCTGGTGGTTTGGGAATGATGACTGACTGGGTCATAAACTTTGAAGGCAGAAATTTTGATAAATTTATCATTAATGATATTTATCAAATTTAATTTTTAAAGCAAATTTAATCTTCAGAATTTAAAATTCAAAAATGGAAATAATTTAAAAAAAAATTAAAATGCGCTTTATAAAATCATTAAAATGCTCTATAATAACCAGTTTTTATCTCTTGTTATCAAAAGAGTTATTCTACCTTTTTTCCATAAAAGCAACATTTTTTGTCCTGTTACAACAAAAAGTGATGAATAAATTCACAAAAGAAACTTTTCAGCTACGAAATATGAGGAAAAAAAGACTTTACATCTCATATTTCATAAAACTACTTTGTATGATTGTTATTAGAATGAATTATAGAATGAGCGAAGCTTTTAAACTATTGTGTACAACGATGCTGCACACATATACACACATGTAGGAGCAAAAATGATCTACAAAAAGACCTATTATTTATAGAACGTAGAGATTGTGTGTGAAAAAGTTCGTCTGTGAGATATTTGAGAGGATTTGAAAGGGGATGGATAAAAAAGATAATTTGAGATTTTTTTAAGTCAAAAATTTTCAAAAATTTTTTTAAATTTTAAAAATAACTGAAATATTGCAAAATTAAGATTTTAAGTTTTTTAAAATCTTAAAAATGACGAAAACATATAAAAATGATAAAAGTTTGAAAAATTAAGATTTCAAGTTTTTTAAAATCTTAAAATTGATGAAAACATCCAAAAATGATAAAATTTTGAAAAATTAAGATTTTAAGTTTTTTTAAATCTTATAAATGATGAAAACATCCAAAAATGATAAAATTTTGAAAAATTAAGATTTTAAGTTTTTTCATTAAGTTTTTTAAAAAAATTTTTTGAAATTTAAAAAAAAAATAAAATAATAAAATTCATTTAAATAACACATTTCCATCACATTTTCTTAAACATAGTTTTCAATCTCTTTCCTCCAAACTAAAAACAATCAAACTCATCCTTAAAGCTCCTCAATTTTTCATCCTATTTTCCTCATCATTATTATTATCATCATGACTCAGTTACATTCAGGAATTGATTACATAAAACTGAGGAAATTTATTGTGTAATTTATAGTACATACCTTCATACAATCTACAGCAGTTGATAAATTTATAAAATTACAAAATTACATAACTTGCTAACTTTTCTCATCATTATTGTTATTCTAATTGTTGTTAAAAGCATAAAAGGATGAGTAACTGAAATGAATTAATTAAATTCAACTCTTTGAATTTGAACATTCTATTATCTCTGTATCCAACTGTAACTCAGTGCAAATATTTGGATTTTGTTTTACTTACTCAAAATTATTTCAGTTTATTTAACCCTTGTGAGGATGTGAGATGAGTTTTTTTTTTGTGGAAGTTGAAGGAGGTTTTGAAAGATTTTTTGAAACGTATTTTTTGATTTAAAGTTTCGAAATAATCCGAATTATGATGTCTTGAATAATGCATATACAATTTTTAATCAGCAGCGAAGGGAGCAATTTTAAAATCGAAAAGGAGTTTGGATTCAAATTTTGTACATTAATAATAAAAAATTCAAACCTTAGGAGTAGGTTCACTTTTTTGGGGGGGAGGTGAGTCTTAAAAATCATGTATTTTCGGACGTAATAAGTGAACGACCCCAAGTTATGATCCTATGTTTACGAATGTTAATTTTTAATAAACAATAATTTACTGCAGTCAAAATAAATTCCAAAAACTTCATAAAAAAAATTATTAATAAATAATAAATTAAACAATTGAAATATTTTAGAAAATTAAGTTTTGTATTTATGTTATCTATTCTATAGTAAACTGAATTAAAATGTGTTTATGTTTGCAACTGTGAGCAGTTCCATTTGTATTTTCTTTTGTAATAGATAGTTTTCAATTGTTTAATTTATTAAATAATAGAAGAATTCGAGAAAATTAAATTATTATTTGAAAATAAGAATTAAATTTGATCTTTATTATTCGGTTTTTACATTGGAATAAGCTTTATGTGAGTCTTCAGATTTGGCTGTTCATAAAAAATATTTGCAAAAATTAAGAACCTTTAAGAAGGAACTACTACACTATAAGCTTCTCCGAAAAATGTTAAAAATTAATTTACAAACAAGTCTTTAATTTTAAAAATAATATTTTCACTATTTACAAATCTAATAATTTTGTTTTCATCTTTATTTTTTTCAGGGGGTTTGGTTTCATCACTTTCGCAGATCCATCTAGTGTAGACAAAGTTTTATCACATGGCACACACGAGTTAGATGGTAAAAAGGTAAGTTTCTGCAATTGAACAATTATTTTAATAAAATTATGAGAAATTATCAAGAAAATTGGAAGAAAAGTATGACAAAGTAATAATAAGACAATAGAACTTCGAGGATGCAAAGCTGATCAATCATGCAGTGAGCTTTAAGTTTTATTAACTTCCTTAAAGCTCCTGTTTTCTATGGGCTGTGATTTTCTTGAAATCCAGCACCAAGCCGGTATGACTCTGGCATGGTGCTGACTTCGATTTGAATTAGTGTGTATGTAACATACTAAAGAAATTGACAACAAAACAGTCAACTTTAAGGCTCTTAAAATTCTCATTCCCTTTTGTAACTTTAATCTTCTCATGTCCCATTCCATTCCACAATATTATAATAAAATGAAATAAATCAGCATAAAAGTAAAATCCCAGCATTTTAAAAATCGATTTTAATAAAAGACAAAGCACAGCGAGAGGATAATGGCCATTTGTCAATATCCAAATGTATAAAAAAAACGGAGCAAAGCATAAAAAACACACAAGCAATTCTCTTTGTGACCTTCCAAGAAAAAAAAAAAAATAAAACAAAAGAAACGAAGGAGAATAATTTTTTATGGCAGTGATAATGGTCAACATAACCGAGGGTAAGGAATACAGGACGGCGAATGAAAATTTATTTGCAATGGATGGATGGATGTAAATATGATTTTTGGGTCAAGACACATCAACTGAATGAAAATTGCTCACTTCATCGTTGTTGTCATGATCCTTATGATGATACCCGAGCAAATAAAAAGTAAAAGGGAAATTGTATTTGTGTGTGTGTGCGTGCGTGTGTAAGCGATGATGTCAACATTTGTTAACGACGTCAATTCACGGAACGATATTGGTTTCTTGTGGTAGTTTTGTCAGGATCATTGAATATTTAAGACTTTCTTGGATCTTTTAGTTCTTGGGCTAATAAAAATTGGACTTAATTATGGACACACATGGAAGATAAAATAGCTGTAGATTTCTGGTAAATTGAATAACTAAGCTAAAATAGACTCTAACCACAGAACTGCAGATTCACCTTCATGTGACTCGATATCACTGATTCCATTTTGCTCAGGCACTTCAGTAAGTCTGACTACAAAAATTTAAATAATTCAAACCCCGTTCCTCACAAAAAAAAAAAAATAAACAACCCCTTCCAAAAAAAAACGAAAATTCTGACAAAACTCACATCAAAGATAAAAAGAAAAGACAAGACGTCAAGAGACATACATGCGGTAAGGCTATCTTTGTTTGTTTCCATAAAAATGCAAATAAAATCTTTTATGGCAGTGCTCAATATTATTCAATATACATACATTATTACATCTTCTTACAATCAATGTAAGATGGTCTGACGGAGATGGCGAAAATGTTAAGGACGAGAAGGAGAAAAAAAAAATCATAAATTGAAAAGCCTTATTGTCACTGATCGCTTTTTGCTGTATATGATTCTTTATTGGGGTGGTTCTCATTCTTCTTCATATTATTTTTTTGTGTATATTAAGGACACACTTTGCTGTGTATGTAGAGACAATATTAAATCAAAAGAGAAGGAAAAATACCGCACACACGACGGCAACAACAATAACAACTAGAAAGTTCGAGGATGACAAGCAATTTTTACGGGGTGTAACACATGCAGATCATATATAAAGACTCTATACACTCTTGAGCATGCATGCATTCACACATGAAGAAGAAGAAAGAAGGAACAAGAACTTAGTGCTAGTCTAAGCTCAAAAAAATTGATGGTGAAGGCAATACATGAAGGAGATATACACAAATAGATAAAAATGTATATTGTGTGTGGGGATATTATTTTGTATACTTTGGGATATAGTCCGGACAACATCAGCAATACTATCAATATCAATGGATTAGTTGTTTCTTAAAAGTTAGCAATGATTTTATTGGAATTAGGCGGTTTGATTGAGGTTTGGGTTGTGGTTGTTTGAAGTTATTTTTGGGAATATACGTTAGGTGGAGATGCTGATGACAAGTTTATTACTGTCTGTGGTGTCGGATCTGAGTGAAATCTAGAGAATTGAACCATAGATAGGCGAATTTGCTGGTTCGAGAGTTAGGTCTCTGTAGCGCAACCCACTGGATATGTCACCCTCTTTTGTGAGAACGTGAGTTCGATTCCCACCAGAGTCACATCTCGTCAATACGACAAATTCGCACAACTCTTACACTGTAATTGCTAGCTTTGTAAAAGAAGGGAACTACACACTTATTGGAGAACTTGAGAATTAAAGTACAAAGTTTTCCACAAATCGCAAAATGCGCTTCAATAAAGTCTCAAAATTTCTATTGCCAATCATCAAAAGAAACCACAAACTTGCCTATTTTCTGTTTTATTATTTTCTCATAAGAACAGCAACAGAAAAAGGAAACAGTACGATAAACATCAAGAGCGTTTCCTTATCGAAAACTTGTCTCATATAGACACACACACACACACACACAAAGATTATGTATTGTACATGTAGATATCTTTAAGTTCCTTCATCATATTCCCTCATTGCTTTTCTTTTCGGTACCATACCGTAACCATTTTAACAAAATTGCTGACTTTTGCATAAATGGATTTCAATAAACAAGATTATTTATTGTGTATGATGAAGTTTTTCTCTTCCTTTCTGTGCTGTGTGTGTATCTCTCTTTCTCTCTTACTATATCTTATGGATATGCCTTTCTAAAGAGAACAATAAGATTTTATAACATTACCCATTGAATGTGTTCAGTTAATAATTTAGGATGGGTTCAAATATTATCATATTGTCTCATACGATGCTTCTTACTACCCATATAACATTTATCGTTTTCGTCTCCTTTTTCTTCTTCTACTTTTCCTCATCATTTCTCATAATTTATTTCTTTTGTTTATTAAATTTCTCTTTTTTTATTTTCCTCAAATTCTTTTTGATTTACTTACATCATGAGATTTACTGATTGTCGTTTGCTTTGTTCCTGTTTATTTACAGATTGATCCAAAAGTTGCATTTCCGAGACGGGCACATCCAAAGGTGAGTTAACTTATTTTTATAATTTAATTTAATTTAATGAAAATCTACGATTATAGATCACCGACACAACGGGAACCTAGGAGACAAAACTCATGGAAACTCACGGTTCCTCACGAAATGAAAACCCACGGCTTTTGTGGGTCTTCAATGATTTTCGTAGATTTTAACCCATGAGTTCCCAAGAGTTTTGTCCCGCGGGTTCCCCTTGTGTCGGTGACCCACTACCAAAATCTATAATTGCGGAATATTATGTGCTTACATGATTAATGTAAAACACTATTGGGTTATGGTGAGACAGGCGCTTAGCCCGGAGGAGGATATGGGAGACAACATTAGTCATCAGAAATTTCTTCATTTTACTAGGGTTTTTATGAAAAATTCGCAAAAATCCCCCCTCTAATTTTTTTTGTCCCCTCTCTTCAAATTCCTGGCTATGCCCATGTGGTAAGAGGTTATGTCTGGTTATGTCCCTACTCAGCCTCAAAACAAATGATGTGGCATATTCATCCACGCCTCGTCCAGTGCTTCGACATAAAAATGCATCATTAAAAGGTTAAATAATAAGAACAACTTGTGTAAGGTACAAATGTTGAGTGACTAGTCCACATCGTCCGTAGCTCACAGATAGCTTATAAAACTCTTAAAAATTATTTCCATCATTATTCTTCGTCAATTCTCTTCCTTCAGTCCATAATCAACAGCCTATTATCTCAATTCTATTCTATCCTCTCCGTCCGACTGCTGGCAACTGGAGAGATAATATTCCAAGGTAGCAAGCATAAACTTTTTTTTTACTATTCTCTTACAAATAAATCTATTATTCTGAATTAAGTCTATTATAATCTTCAACATTTTAATATTATCCATTCTTATCACTTATGTCCATGTGAATGAATAATTTCCTGTACCTTTTGATTCCCCTTTTTTTCTGCCTCACATTCAACAAAAGAAAAGAAAAAGAAAATTGAAAAATCATGAGAAGCACAAAAAAAAAAGGCATGAAAAGTTTTCATTTTAAATCTCTTTTTATCTCTCGTAAGTCAGAGTTGTCCAAACATTCGCATACAAAATAATAAAAAAAAACTTTGTAATATTAGAATAGAAACAACTTTTTTTCTGTTGCTGTATGCTGCTTACTCTCAAAAATAAAATGAAAAAAATTCAAAGAAAAACTTCTTCGAGAGATGAAAAATCAGTGAGTAAGAAAAGAAAAGAAAATTATTTTAAATACGTATGAAAAACTTCTTTTGTCAAAAACAATTCTCTTTTTAAGTTTCAAATATATGCAGCAATATTAAGTTGGCTTCCTGAATGTCTGTGTAACTTTTCAGGAGATTTCTTACTGTGGGTCATATTTTTGTAGGTGTTGTGAATTATTATTAGTGAAATGGCTGGATGAGGGATTTGTCAACAGAACTAGGGTTACTGTCTAAAGCTTCTCGAGATGCCATTAAGAATGTGGAACTGCATTATTTCTAATTTGATCTTGTTTTAACAATTTTGATGATTTGATCAGCTTCACATTATTTGGGACCATAACCTATAGCAGTGATGGCACCCTTCATTTTCTACTTCGCTGGCCGTACACATCAATTGTGATCCTTGCCCCCCTCTCCCCCCCCTTAGTTGACGCCTTAAGCTGGCTCTATTGCTAGCTACTATTTACCAATTTTCAACTGCCGTGGTACACTAGTGTGCCGAAAATTCGATGATTTCCACAAGGGGCTGTTCACTCATGACGTTAAGAGGGTGGAGGAGGGGGGTCAGCAAGAAAAGAACAATAGATATTCCTAGAAATTCATTGTTCTTTTTTGAAAAGTGACCGTTATTTTCGGACGTAATAAGTGAACGACCCCAAACTTATGCCAGCAGCGGTTTTGGTCAAAAGTGTGTCATGGCACATAAAAGGATAGGAACCACTGACCTAGAGTTGAAAATCGATTTATTATTTATTAAATTAACTTTTACTAGCGACTACAGATTTATCATTTAAACTTTCCCAATCTATAAAATGTGCAAGATCATTCCTCAATAAAAATTTTCAAGACACATAAGAAACCTTTATCTTCTATCTCTTTCTATCCAGTCATTGAATCTATAAATAAACAAATAAAACACTCAAAATCACCTTTCTCGAAAAACAACCCAAAACAAATCCAAAAATGCGCCTCATTTGCATTCAATCCCATGACACGAAAGTGATTCCCTCAGCTTGTGTAATAAAATATATATCTAGGAAAGGTAGAAGTAAAATGAGCATTTGAATTGATTGTTAAGTGGATCAATGATATGTTTATGTAAGCAAAAGAATTTCAATTTTCGATAGGAGAAGAAGAATTGAGTAAGTGAGATGGAGATAGAGTAAGAAAACTTTTCTTTATTTTCAATTCTTTTCGTTCTTGTGTATGCACAGAAATCCAGCAATGTCTAAGTTTTTTTTTCAATTCCTTACTATCTATATCTTTTGGCTCACTCTCTTTTTATTGGTATGAAATGGATGAGCAGCAAGGTAAGGAAGAGAAAAAAAAAGTTCTTATATTTCATTTCATTTCTCTTGTTATTTCAATATTCAGCATTAAAATGGATGATATAATGTCGAGGATAATTCGCTTTTTGCTTTGGACAAAATTTATTATTGGATTTTCGTGTTTTCAATTGCTCACTCTCTATCCACTCTTATTATCTATCTATCTATCTACTTTTCTTATTGAGATGTCTTTTAGATTTTCTTTTTTTTTGCTTATTTTGCTTCTATTTTGACTGCCTCTTGGTTTCTTTGTGCTTTCTATCATCCCTTGGGTGGTTTTTTAGTGAATTTATTTGAGATCTTGTCAAGGTGGGAATTTTGAGGTTTCTCTAAATGCATAATGTGTGCCAAGGGCGCGGAACTGATAATTTTTGATCATTTCATCAGTACCACACCTTTGGTGTGTGCAAAAGACGTAAATAAAGACACTAGGCTCTAGGCTTGCGGAAGGCTAGAGTAAAACTTGATTCAATGATGTAAAAGCCCACTCTACCAAAATGCTAGCATTGTTTAACTTTTTTGATACTTTTTAACCTTAAAGTCATTTGGGATACTTTTATTTTATGGCCTTTCTATTTGGGGTGTCAGAGAAACCTGAAATCTGGGGTATTGAGCCATGTTTATAGTTGATTCTGCTAGTATGAGAGTTAGGTCTATGTGGCGCAAGTGGCTAGGCAATAGAGCCAATTTCAATTTGAGAAATCGATCCTGTAGCTTGTCTAGTATATATCCAACGATACCTTGTAGCTAAAGTCAATATAAAGCTTTTTTAAACTAGTTTTGGATCCACCATACTCGTCTCGTGCAATCTTTTATATCAAAATGTTCACAAAGTCCCCATAAAGGAAGTCTATCTCCTGTACTCTCGATTTCTTACTCTTCAAATTTATTATAAACCACACCAAAAAAAAAAAATCTCTCATTCTTTTATTTGGAGATTTATTAAAGGCAGCAAAAAAGTGCCACCAAAATCCACTTCTTATTCATTCAGCAAAAGAAAAAAAAGAATATTTTTTGATGACTTAATGCTTGTTTTTTTTTATTCTCTTCAGTGAAATATTCATTCTTATATAAATTGGTTGAACAGATTGATGTACTTGCAAAGCGATATGGAATTCTCATTGGAATTTTTCAATGTTTGCAGACAGTGCTGATTCTTTTTTGTAGTGTCTAATGGTGTGTCTTATGGGAATTTGATTTTTTTTGGTTTAGTTTTTTTGTTTTTGTTTATTGAGAATGACAATTTATTTTGAGAATCGAGATGATTTTTGCTTTGGTTTTTGAAATAAAAAATATTTAATTTAAGACATAAGAGATTGCAATTTAACAAGACTAAGCTTCAATAATTTTCGAAGAATTTTATTTTGCTTGACAAATTTTAAATTTAAATGCGCAACAAATTTCGAAAAATTTTTCAAGATATTTTCAAATTTAAAAAATTTCTTACAATTTTTTAAAAAATATCTTGGAATTTTTCTGTATTCTTAAAAAATGTCTCAGAATTTTTCTGTATTTCAAATAAATTCTTAATCTTCAACTCTTCTTAAAACAATCAAAAGACTTAAATAATTCAAAATCATCTTCCAAGAATTTATTATAAATTCATTCCAGTTCAATTAATTTATTTCTAATTTATTCTGAGAATATTGTTTAAATATATAAAGATTTAAAATAAAATAATTTTATAGTAATCCTTTTTGGAATTCAATTAACAGTGATTCTGAATCTCATGATAGTAAATTTTTATTCTAAGTATTTAAATTACTTTAAATTCTTGTTTTCGATTTTTTTAAAAATCTAATTCTACAGAAATCTACTTATTTCTACTCTATTCAGAGGATATTCATTTCTAATACTAGAGTAGAGTAGAATGTAACTGAGTAGAGTAGAATATAAACAAGTAGAGTAGAATTAAGTAGATCCTACTCAGAAAATGAGTAGAATTTTCTCAGCTCTACTCTAGCTACTTTAGCTACTTTGCTATTCATGCTACTTTTCCATATCTTCTTCCGAGTGTGAACAGGTTGTTATTTACAATGAAAACAACATTTTGTGATTTTAAATTTGAAGAACTTTTAAATTTTTTTGAAAAGAAATTGAATTATTGTTAAGTGATGTATTAGTTGCGATAATGAAGCATCAATGCTTTTTAAAGATTGATCTAAAATCTATTAAAACTATTGTCTCAACTAAGAGCTTTAATGAGTTCCGATATCTTTTCAAAATATTAGATCATTTGAGATTGATTCGTGTTTTCAACTTAAATTCAACTTTAATTCAATTTAAATTATTCTTTGATTTTAACTTCATTCTTGAACCCAAAAGAGTCAAGTTTGGTGATTTAAATAAAATTTTTGAATGAATTAATTAATTTACTATTCCCAAAAGTGTCTGAATTCATAACTTTGATCAAGTCAACCTTTAAGTCAGCCAAAAAATATATTTTCAATATATTCCACTATTTTTTAAAAATGATTATTAATTGAAAATCTCAATATGCAACCCTATTTCCTCAACATCATAGTATTTTCATTACAACTTAGCACACACAAC